TACATGACTACAGTTGAACGAACAAAAGGAGCTTGCAGAAACATTCACAGTGGAAATACAACCATCCTAACAATTTTATCAACTATAGTCATTGGCATGTAAAATTCACAATTACATCAGGACAAACAGATGGAACTAGCATGAATGCCCATAGTAAAACTACCATACTCTCTGGCTTATAAATTACACTCACACACACAATGTACAAATATGTTCTTTTTAATAGGTAGATTTCATGCACATATTATTCTATTGAAGAGCTAGAAATGTTTGAATCTTTTAACATGAGCACTCTAACTCCGAAACCAGCAAACGGAAGCTCGAAAATGAAATGACAGTAGCACCCTAACTACAAGGATCGATGTCTTGTCCGACAATGCGATATTAAATTTCATCTACTTAACATTAGTTAATAGTATTAGACAAACAGAACAGAGTTTGAGTGAATGCTGAGACTCACCACAAAGCAATGGAAGATCTTCAATGTGATATTTTCTCCAATAGCCTCAAAAGTTGCTATCAACGGGGCGAAAAAACCGTACCCTATCCCACCTAGAAGACTCCCAATAATGGCTATTATGGGCCAAAGAATCAGAGGAAATGGCAATGAAACCAGTAATGCAATCTTCAAAACCCATCCAAGCTTTTTTGTTCTGAAATAGTATGAAACAAATAGCACAAAAGAAACAACAGAATACTATATCAGATACATACACAATATGTTGCATTCTAAAGGGAAGCACAGCGCACAAGCATCCCGCATTCACACAGGGTCCGGAGAAGGCCCGCACCCCAATGGAGTGTGATGCAGGCAGCCTACCTGATGCAAGTATCAGTGGTGGGCGAGTCTACAGCCTTAACCCGTGACCTATAAGTCACACGGGGACAACTTGGCCTTTGCTCGAGGCTCCCTTTCAATATGTTGCATTCTGTACTGTAATAAACAATACTAGAAAAAGACATATGGCAAGAAAACACATACTTTGTCACACAGTAGTAGGTCCAGATAAAATGTGCAGGCCATAGTCCAATTACAACTGCTGAATTCCCAACTGCTATTATAATTGTGACAATGGGACCAATTATTAATCCTGTCCAGACAAATATCAAACTTATCAATATCCAGAAAACATTTAATGCCAACAATTTAATGTTCTCTTACAAACATTCTCTATATATCATTTTCCTTAACTAAATGCTCTATCCAGCCAGTAGATTACTCCAACTTTAAAAGTGTGTTAACATGACCAAAACAAACAAGACAGTAACTTTGAGTAAAGCGGCAATGGTCTCAAAAAATTTATATGCATAAGTACCACACAAGTTCAAATCTTTGATTCGCCTCTGTGCAAAATATACTGCAGATATTACTACTTTGTGATATGTACAAATTTAGTACACTCCACTAACTACTACTTTGTGACGTACAAATTTAGTATAACTATGTCTTACAATTGTTCAAACCAAGGGTGTCTGAGACAATTTATTATGTGATCATGCAAAAATTTAGGGGTTGAAAACAGATATATAAAGAAAAGGGGTTGATAAAGAAATACTATAGTACACCTTTGAGAAGGCCAAGGAGGAAGAGCAAGAAGAAGAAAGGAAGAAATGATATAAAGCTCCAAAGCCTTGCCAAGAACCCTACTGGTACTTCCATGATATTAAAATTAATTAATGCTATACTAAAAACCTTCTCTTTACTCAACGAAAATCTAAAATTAATACAACGAATGATTTTTAGAGAAAGAGTATTAGATGCAAAGGCAAGGAAAAGAAAAAAAATTGTGAAAGAGGACAAAAGAGAAAAGAGAAAAGAGAAAACAGAGCCGTTACGAGGGGTGGAGCCATAACGTGGCAGAAGAAGGTGGTAGGTGTGCCACGTGGCGGAAATTAGCCTCCTTGAAAGTGAGATTCCCGCGTGGAGGAGGTTACATAGTGTGACAAACGGTGACACTTCACTCAGCACTCACGCACATCACCAGGGGCTTTGTTTTGTCGTTTTATGCCCTTGGGATTTGTCCACTAACGCCTTAACGGGTTATTTGACATTTTCTGCACATTACTAATACGGAGTATTTGTATTTATACCCGCTTTTTATATCACATTTTAATTTGTGTCCGTTTTGCAAAAAAAATTACAAGTGTACCCGCTTTTTCGCATAACTTCAGCATACAGGGCTGAAGTAACAAAGACAATCACGCAAAACTTCAGCATTCTAGTAGCCGACCCTGAAGTTCAGCTCTAGAGCTGAAGTTTTTGTGTTGTAACTGGGAAACTTCAGCTCTAGAGCTAAAGTTTTTGTGTTGTAACTGTCTTTATAACTGGGAAATCCCACTATCAAAAAGTTCTAGTTTTTGATAACTCACCCAAATTTTATATAATCGGATCAATTCAGAGTGTTAAAAGGAAGGTGGTAATTGATGCTTTTCGATTGATCAATCCACAAAACCATGATGCCAAGGCAACGTCGAATCTGGTGCGTCTGAACAAGCCAGTAAAATTATTTATTTTTTAAGTTTTTTGCAGAAGATATTATTTTTTTCTGAATATATGACATCCTAAAGAAAAGAGAAAAGAGAAAGAAGAATAAACTCCATGTGCATGGGAAAGAATGAATTTGAAACTTACTGTTAAAGGCTGGAGCAGAAACATTCACGGTATCAAGTAAATTTCCAGCAATGGATGACGGAGTTGTGTTTCCAGACAATGAGGAAACTCGTTCTTAATGTTATAATAATCCAAATGGAAGTCCTCAGTATATTTGCTTTAGCTTCATTAATCAAAGAGAGCAATGTTGAAGTCATCGTTGTAGAAGAAGAAAATCGTTGTAGAAGAAGAAAAAAGAAAATGAAGGAGGAGAAGAAGGAGGAGAAAGGGAGGTGGAGTTGTTTAAAAAGTGGGTACAACTTAAAAGTTTTTAAAAAAATGGGTATAAGTTAAATGGGGGCGATCAAATAAGACGCCCCGTGCAATTTCTATTACTAATACTAGTGTTAGAAACCCGCGCGATTCGCGTATTGACAGAATATTAATCTTATAAAATTATGATCTAAAATAATAATATTAATTGTTATTTTATTTTTTAACATAATGTACAGAAATATATTAAAATTTATATAACACACACTTAATACACATTATATAATAATCAAATTAATTGTTTGTTCCTTATTTATTTTTTATTAAATTAGCAAGTACTTAGTGCTATATAATAAATTATTTGTTCCTTATTTTTTTAATTAAATTAGCAAGTACTTAATATTATATAATTTATTTATTTATTTATATTTTTCTTTTTTTTAATAATAGTTTTCTTAAAAATATATAGATATTTAATTATTTTAATTTAAACTCAAATAGAGTAACTTAAAAACATTTGCAGTTTTAATTTGAATATATACATTTTTACGCTATCACTTGATTTTTTTTATTCTTTCTTTATGACTATTTATTTATTATAATTTTAGTTATGTGTATACGTACGACTTTTCTCATCATAATTCTAGTTATAAGTCTTATATTTTTATATTTTTTCAAAAAATTAAATTATTTTTTGTTTCTTACTTATCTAATTGTATTATCCATTACGTCATATTATTAAATTTTCATCTGAATTTTTAGTAAATTACTCGTTTAATATAATTTAATAAATATAATTTTGTATTACTCTTGTAATTTATCTTGTATGACTTTCTCGTAATTATTTCTACATTTAAATTATAAATAATATTTTCGAGTATTATTTGCTTACTTAATTTTATCAAATACATATAAAATGCGGGTAGAAACACGTTATATCTATTTTTCTCTTTATACATTAGTTTTTGTTCTACAATATTTTTTTTCATTTAGTGTTTATCTATAATACGAATATTATTGTATTATTGTTCTAAATGGTGTTGAATTAGTTCAAAGGTTAACCAAAGAAATTCTTTTATTATATGTTATAAATCTAGAAATATTAATTGCCTCCGTAGAATATGTTGTCAAAATAATTAAGCACCCTTGCTTTATAGCGCCAATTACACTTGCAATGCTATGCTGATTAAAAGTGTCGAAGGCTTCTGTAACCTTAGACTTGTTATGTTGTTCTACTTCAAAGTTGGCTACATAATTAAGTTTGACATCAGAAAAAGAAAGAGAACTTTTAGTTTTTCTATAGATTGAATTGTCCCATGAACTGTTACGACTTATTAGTATATTTTACTTTAATTTGTAAATGAAAGTAAATTGTCCTTGCATAAATCTGTCACAACATGATTCAAAGTTCAGTCTCACTGTCCAATTCCTACTTTGAATTAAAAATATGTACATTAAGAAAAATAATAATAAAAACAAAAGGGAGTACTGTACCTGAGATGCAGAATGATTCAGACGCTTAGCAATTTATTGATCGGCCATCTCTGATTTCGGCACTATGACATAGTAATTGAACAATGAAAAATTACAGAGAATGATTTTGGGTGCAATTTTTCCCCGACAATTTTTTGGTGAGAGTAAAAAGGGAACTGTAAGTTTTTTTAATCTAATATATGCAAGAGGAGAATATCAGTTAGTTTTAAAACTGATCGTGAGGAAGGGGAATGGAGAAAGTGAGAATAGTTGGTGGTTTCTAAGTCTTTTTTTACGTTTTTGGTTCAAATTCAAAGAAAAGAACTACTCATAAACAAAATTTAAAACTGTCAGCAAATAAAATTTTAAAATATCAGTTATTTTTTATTTTTTTTTTGAATTCTGAAAAAAAATGTCCCTACATTTTTTTAAAAATAAATTTGAAACTCCAACAAAGTTGGAGAATTATCCAAAAAGTTAACATGTGTCAATTTAATATTATCCAACTTGTCATCATAATATTTTTTTGCTTCTCATATTATATATAAATTCCTACTTAGAACACAGGCACCTCTCCGTCAACGTGTGTGTTCCCTTGAATTTTCTAATTTGTCTGGGGTATTCCTGTAATTTCATTAATTTACAGCTCACCCTTATAATTGCTGACTCTTTCTGCGGTCGCCGAACGCGTGGACTCCCAATTCCCGTAACTTGTTACAAGCATCCACTTCCAAGTTGAGCATCCATGGCCTCAAAATCCAGCAGACCTCACTTGCTAATTCAACGAATTCAGAGAAGTTAGCCCTTTTCGATTCACATATACCATAAAGAGCAAGTTTATTCCAATCACTCCAGCATTTCATTTTATTTATGCTTTTTGTTCTACTTTTTCTTCTTCTGCAAAAAGATCAGATCTTTGTGGTTTTGGCTTGATTAACAATCTTTTCTTCAGTTTGGTCTTAAGATCCGTTTCAGAAAGCTGAAAACAAACTGAGGTTGGGTTCTGATTTGTTCTTTGTTTTTATTAATTTGTTTTGGATTTCTTATGTGAATTCTAAGTTGTCTTCATTTTTTCCATGATGTTCTACTTTCTTTAAATCTTTAAAAGATTTTGGGACAATGGGAGTAAAATTAAAAATGGGACCCAAATAACCAAAAAGGGGAAGAAGTGAAGTAGAGGAAGAGTAGCGGAAGTGGCCATTGCCATATCCTCGATCCCCACGGACCCCTTCTCTCAAATCACATATAAGTACTATTTTTATAATTCTGCAGATTCAGATTCAGGAAAATAAATAAAAAAAATAAATAAACAAACGAATACAAAAGCAAACTCAAAGCGTCATTGAGATTCAGATGGTATGATTTGAAGAACCATTCAATAGTTCTCTTTCTTCAATCTTAGGTAATGAAAATCCTACAGTGTTTTTATAAAATAATTTTCTTAGTTTCTTTTATTTTGCATTGTCGTTCTTTATTTATTGTATTTAGATTTTACAGGTTTTTGGATTAGTGAAATTGAGTATAATGTTATGTAGATTTTGATTATGTTAATTAGTATGATTGTCATTGTCAAATACTTAGCTGATCAAGTTTAAGCTATTTGGTGAGATTCATAGTTAATGTTTCTGTGTAACTGTGGGCTAATTAGTGACACCATTGTTTAGGTTATACATTTAGATGAATCTTTATTATATTTAGATTTTATAGGTTTTTGGATTAGTGAAATTGAGTATAATGTTATGTAGATTTTGGTTATGTTAATTAGTATGACTGTCATTGTCAAATACTTAGCTGACCAAGTTTAAGCTATTTGGTGAGATTCATAGTTAATGTTTCTGTGTAACTGTGGGCTAATTAGTGACACCATTGTTTAGGTTATACATTTAGATGAATCTTTATTATATTTAGATTTTATAGGTTTTTGGATTAGTGAAATTGAGTATAATGTTATGTAGATTTTGGTTATGTTAATTAGTATGACTGTCATTGTCAAATACTTAGCTGACCAAGTTTAAGCTATTTGGTGAGATTCATAGTTAATGTTTCTGTATAACTGTGGGCTAATTAGTGACACCATTGTTTAGGTTATAGATTTAGATGAATTGGTGATTTAGGAAGAGAAGGGTGGTGCAGTAATTCTTTTTTTATTTATAAAAAGGCTGGTCTTTAAAAGACTTAACCCGACGGGTTATTACATTTCTATTATTTACCAGTAGAATGAACAATAAAATTTGTTACTTAGGGTCTGTTGACGCCTCTTTTGGTTTGAATATTCTAAATGCAGTTATCTTGCGGTACCAAGCTTGTGAAAAAAATGTATCCCGAGCGAAGAAATAAACGGCCATATGCAGAACATCCAAACTCTGACAAGAATGTCAGAAGATGTGATATTTATGGGCAAATATCGCCCGATAAAAGAAAGACAATGTTACTACAACGCCGCACCAAAGAACTTGAGCGGTAAAAATGGAATAGTTCCATAAAATCGACAGTTGATCCAGCTGAAAGAGTAATGTATCAATGTCACCCTATGATTCGAAAAGATAGTGCTCTTACCATAAAAGAGGCTTCGTCTGCTGACAACGAAGGTTAGATTGGATTATTGCGTTTTATTTACGTTATGTTAGTGTAGCAGTAGACAGATAAATATTCATAATTTATTAAGTAATTATTTTATACGCAGAGCAGGATATCACATGTTTACTTGAATATATTAAATGTACAATGCGTTTCAAATTTGTCGCAGTTGGCAGCAAGCATGATGTTAATACTTCCTCAAGTTCTTTGGATAAAGGAAAAAAGGTCGATCATGCGTCTTCTGTATTTGAAAGAGGTAAAGCTAGAACATCTATGAACATCTTTGTTAGTATGTCACGGCTTAGGTGTACATCTAAATTATGACAATTTGTGCCCCAGGATCAACATCGTGTATATATAAGGGACAACATAATGTCTTCCCTATTGCCATACACAAATGTTAGTATTTCTTTTAGCTAGAGTAACACTATTCATTAGTAGAATATTTTCCATCTCTTTATTTTTAACAATACTTATAACATACAGGTTGTACCTTGACCAAAGTAATCCATAAGAAAAATAATGACACAGATACGGATTATGCACGATTAAAACCCGTTCCAAACTGTAAATTTTGCAACGCAAAAAGGTTTTAATATGAACCTCCTGGATTTTGTTGTGGCAGCAGGTCAGTTAAGTTAGTTTCATATAAGTTGCCTAATGAATTATCAGATTTGTATAAAGGCAACACTGAAGAAGCTAAGCACTTTCGAACCTACATTAGAACATATAACAATATGTTTGCCTTTACGTCACTTGGTGTAACCAACGATAAAGATTTGGCGAGGAGATATCATGGTATATATACCTTTCGAGTTCAGGGACAAATGTATCATTTTATATCTGATTTACTTCCTTCTGATAAAAAAGGAAAGAATATGCAGTTATACTTTTATGATAATGAAAATGAATTGGCTAACAGAATGGTTTGTTCAAGAAATATCAACGAATCAATTGTAAATAAACTTATGCATGTACTATCAATTAATCCATATTCTATTTTTTTAAAATCCTTGACAAATGTTCCAAAACTGTTCGACTGCTATATCACGCTTAAATATGAACCAAAGTCAGATCAACGTGTATATAATCTACCAACTACAACAGAGGTGGCTGGAATATGGGTACATGATAATGCTGCTGATACTGTTTCTACGCCTCATATTCGTATATACACATATAGTAACAAGATTCAGTCAGTAAAGTATTATTATGGATGTTATGACCCATTACAATACCCGTTGTTATTTCCATACAGTAAAACGGATGGCATTGTGGTATTAAAAAAATCACACGAAGAGATCAACGTTATTGTAAACATGAAGAATTACCGAGTGTAAAAAACATGTGTTCCATTGATGGATTTCTTGATATGGAAGCTCAAACTATGGAAAAAGGAAAACGGAAAAGAGAGACAGTTTCTTGCCGTGAGTATTATTGTTACAAATTTCAGATAAGAGAGGATGACAAAAATGAAGTCCTACATTGTGCAAGATTATTTCAATAATTCATAGTAGATGTGTTCATAAAGCTAGAAACACAAAGATTAGATTTTTATTTTTTTAATCAAGATTTGTTTCGAATAGATATGCTACAAGGACTTATTGATTTTTTAAGACTTGGGGAAACAGAAGCTTCCAAGATTGGGAAGAAAACATTCCTCCCTGTTACTTTTATAGGAGGGCCAAGAGATATGCGCCGACGGTATATGGATGCTATTGCATTAGTGCAACGTTTTGAAAAACCTGATATTTTTTTAACTATGACATGTAATACGTCTTGGCCAGAAATAAAACAACACTTGTTATCAATGGATGAAACTCAAAATAGACCTGATTTAGTATCACGAGTATTCAGAGCAAAAGTAGAAGAATTAAAGGCAGATATCTTGAAAAGAAAAATCTTTGGAAAAGTTGCTGCTTTTATGTATACTATAGAATTTCAAAAACGTGGTCTTCCACATGCTCATTTTCTTATCATACTTAGTGATGAATACAAATTATTAACCCCTGAGTCTTATGATAAGTTTTTTTGCGCTGAGTTGCCTGATCATAATACCAAAGAGCACCTTTACTCACGCGTGCTTCAGCATATGATGCACGAATCGTGCGGTGATTTAAATCCTACAAATTCATGTATGGGAAAAAGAGGGCTTTGTAAATTTGATTATCCAAAAGATTTTGTTGAGTAAACATCAAAAGGAAAGAATTCGTATCCAATTTATAGAAGACGAAACACAGACGAACTTGTACATATAAGAGAACAATATCTGGACAATTCATGGGTTGTCCCATACAACCCTTACTTACTTTGTAAGTTTGACTGTCATATGAATATTGAAGTTTGTTCTGATATGAAAGTTGTAAAATATATTTACAAATACATTTGCAAAGGACATGATAAAATTGCCTTTTCTATACATAGCAATGAAGAAATAGATGAAATAAAAGAATATCGATCTGCTAGATGGGTAACACCCCCTGAAGCGGCATGGCGTTTATTTGGTTTTCCTATTAATGAAATGACTCCGAGTGTTTATCATCTTCAACTACATTTAGAAGGGCAACAATTTGTTCCCTTTAAAAGCAATGAAACTGTTAATAGAATTCTAAATAATCCAATGATTAGAAAAACAATGTTGACAGAATTTTTTGCTATGAATGCAACCGATGAACATGCTATAGCTATGCAATTATTGTATAAGGAATTCCCGGAATATTTTGTATGGTCTCCAGGATATAGAACGTGGACACGTCGCCAAAAACGTAACGTAATCGGACGTGTTGTAACATGTCACCCAACAGAAAGAGAGAGGTATTATCTCAGGTTATTATTGATGAACGTGAGAGGACCTAAATCATATGAAGATCTTCGCACCGTTAACGAGGTACCTTGTAGTACATTTAGAGAATCAACAGAAAAAGAGGATTATTATACTGTAACAACAGTTTAATTGAATGTATGTCGGAGGCTGTAAGCTATCAAATGACGTATAGCTTGAGACGTTTATTTGCGACATTGTTAGTATATTGCAATCCTGCTAATCCAAAAACATTATGGAAAATGTTTGAAGATTCAATGTCCGAAGACTTTAAACATTACTCTGAATTTCAAGGAAAAACCATTCGGCACAAGGTTTTAAGCCATATCAATGATATCTTGTACTCTATGGGACACGACATAAATGAGTATAAGCTTATTCTAGAGAACATTAGACCTTCTGAAATTGCAAAGGATGCAAAGGATGTTCATTTTGAAAGAAATATTATTGTTAGTGAAAAAGACTTGATCTTACCGAAGAGATTTCATGTTCAACAATTACATGCCTATAATACAATAATTAATAGAGTATTTTCTGGAAAACAAGGAGCTTTCTTCATCGATGGTCCTGGAGGAACAGGTAAAACTTTTTTGTACCGTGTATTATTGGCAACTGTCCGGTCCCAAGGATTTATAGCTTTAGCAACTGCAACTTCTGGTGTGGCAGCTTCTATCCTTCCAGGAGGACGGACTGCTCACTCCCGATTCAAAATGCCTATTGATATAGATGATAATTTTTGCTGCAACATTAGTAAATAAAGTTCAGTCGCACGTTTAATTAGCGATGCAAAATTAATTGTATGGGATGAGGCATCAATGGCAAAAAAGAATATGATTGCAGCTCTTGATGCAATTCTGAGAGATATTATGAATGCCAATACAATGTTCGGTGGTAAAGTTGTTGTATTTGGAGGTTACTTTAGACAAACTCTACCAGTTGTTCGATATGGGAAAAAAGAAGATTTTATTCACGAAAGCTTATTGTATTCTGAAATTTGGAATAAACTTGAAAAATTGTACCTATCTGAAAATATGCGCGCAAGAACAAATCCTTCTTTTTGTGAATATTTACTCTGAATTGGAAATGGAACAAAAACAATTAACTGTGAAGAAAAAATAGAGATTCCTAATTCCTTTGTTATTCCTTTTACGACCGAAGAAGAATCCTTAGATGCATTGTTTAGTGTAACATATCCTGATTTGCATGCATTTTCTCCTGATTCATCTATGATAACATCTCGTGTTATTTTAACAACGAAGAATAACTTTATCAACAAACTAAATAATATGTTAATCACTAAATCCCCAGAAATGATCAAAGTCAGTTTGAAGATTTTCTACATAGTTTAGATCCTCCTGGTTTACCGCCTTATAAGTTAACTTTAAAGGAAAATTGTCCAGTTATATTATTACGAAATGTGAATCCTTGCGAAGGTTTATGCAATGGCACACGGTTGACATGCTGTCACTTTAAAACACATGTTATAAGTGCTAAAATTGAAAGTGGTGATTTCAAAAATATACATGTATTTATTCCGAGAATACCATTGTTAACATCACAAGATGAAAAAATACCTGTTCAATTTAAGCGAACACAATTTTCCCTACGACTGTGCTTTGCTATGACCATAAACAAAGCTCAAGGTCAAACATTAGATTTTGTTGGAATTTACTTACGTGAACCTGTTTTTTCTCATGGTCAACTTTACGTTGCTTTATCAAGAGCCAAAAGTTCAAACTGTGTTAAAATACTGATTCGACCATCAACAACAGACAGTAATGATGATCATTCAACATATAATGTCGTTTACGACGAAATTATTCAGAAAGCTTTCTCGTAGGAAACCTAATGATCTTTAGCTCAACAATAAAAAAACCAAATTTTAACTCCGCCTGTGTTTCAGTGACACTACCGCACCACAGCCGGTCCCAAGCCCGGAAAAAGGAGGAGGGTTAATTGTGTATTTATGCTTTGCAATACTAAAAGGCGGGATGATTAGTGAAGCAACATACGTTGGATCTTCCAAAACCAATAAGGTATATATTTTTCAAGGTTCTTCTGGTTTACTTTATTACAATTCTTTTCCCCATTCTATGCGCCTTTAGTCACAATTATTTCTTTTATGCTCCTATGTTTAGCCAACCAAAATTTTGAGTTGGACCAAGTAAGTTGTACGTGAGGCATCATCTCGCCAGCAAATCAATTATTTGGGCATGCTGCATACATAACAACCACCAAACATGTTACAAGGTCGCTAGGTTCAACTATTATTTCCTGTTTCATATCTTGCATCAGAAATATTTAATATGGATTATCTAGAGCTCAAACGCGATATTGGTTATTTTGAGTATTATGAATCGTTTATGTTTCTCTTCAAAATTCAATCTTTGAATTTAAATCTACTAGATATGAAGATATCAATTTCATGTTAAAACTTGCTCTATACTTCTAATCATTTCCTTTCTGTTTTTATAAATTAACTAGCTTTTATTTTGCGCTAATATTTGTTTTTTCACCAAGTTTATTTTTTGGCATTTGAGGAATAATAATATAGTGAAAGTGAAGAGTAATTAAGCGCTTACCCTTTGTCATCGACTCTTTCCCTTTCTATTCCTGGTTACCACCTTTTTCCCCCGGAATTCATATTTATTTTCCTCTTTTTTCCAATCTACACTATAAAAAGCAGTTGTATTTTTTGCATCTCTACGGAGTCAATGTTTGAAACCTGCAAGTGAAATCACTGGTCAATGTAAGGTGGCAAAGAAATGTTCTCTGGATGGGTTGCCATGGAAGAGGCACAATTCTGCCCAAATAGAAAAAACTTTTACGCATTTGCAAAAAGTTCTTTTTGAATGAAGGATTGTAATTTTCCACTTTGATAATAACATCCTTTTACTAATTGGTTTCTTTCCTTTTCAAAGGATCCAATCTCCTGTGAAAGATGGTTATTTGTTTCTACCTAGGTCGCAGGAATATTCAAAATGTTAAACAACAACTTACACTTACAACTTTTCTGGATTTATCGTTGGGATGCTAGAGTGCACGCTTTATGAAATGTTTGCCATGTAGATGTTGGAAGCATAAGTAAAAGTAAACCTGATGAAGTGGTACTTTCTGTTTGCATTTTGTGTGTGTTAGCCTTATTTAGCCCTCAATCTTATCTGTACGCATGATTGAGTGACCATTTTTGATTTATTCCTTGCAAATATATAACCTCTAACTAACTTCTGAGCTGTTCAACTATGAGGTCGCATACTAACTCTTGCTAATTGACACTTGTACTATCCAGATAAATTGCGCTTTAAGGTTATTTGTACATCTTTATTCATTTAAGTTAGCTCTTCTAAATTTTATTGCTTGCATTGTATCCGTACAGTTACCTCCTCATGAACCTTTGTTGGTACAGAGACCTGTCAACTATTTTCTACAGGTTTAGTACTTCATCTACCAAGTTGTGATTCCTTATATTTGTTATTTTCTGCCATTCTCCACAACTCTTAATTTTGACCTTGACTGATCTTTCTGTTATGTTTCCTTTGGGAAGTTTGTTCCCATATTTTTTTTTGGGCGGGGGGATATTTTCTTCGTTCTATGTGCAAATGGAGGCTCTTCTAACTTAAAATCTTTAAATTGCCTTCTTTCTATACAATGAATCAACAGATCTCTTCAAGTCTTTTCAGTAATTTGGTCTTTAATGGACAACTATAAATGTTGGACAATTTTGCTCCGCTAAAGTGTATTTCTGATAATACTTATCGAATTACATAGTTTTTAAAAAAGAAAAGGTGCACTGGCTATAACATTCACTTTAAGATTCAAAAGTTGGTTGCACTTTCTGTATAACTGCACAACTTATCACATCAACCACGCCATCATGTAAAGGTCACTTTTCAAGTCATACTTGGCTCATTTTGGTTCAGATGAATAATGAGTAATACGTGGTTACTAGAAAAACGATTTGCGTGTGAAAAATGGAGGGAGTCTGATAAAAATATGATTTTCTTCTTTTTGGTACTGATTTTAACAATATGTTTTATCTGAATTTGCCTACGCCAAACTTAAAATTTGTAGGGATTATTGGACAAGATCATTTGAAGCCTTACAGGAGCAAAAGGATGATCATCTTCGCTTAATTGCCCTTGGATTACCTCCTTCAATAAATGGTAATGTCCTCCTCCTACGTAAAAGGAAAAGAAGCAACAACCCATTTATGTAACTAACAAGGTTAAGGCAGACTACACTTTAGGGTTAAAACTAGAATTGTATTTCTGTGACACAGTCACGGGAGATTTACCTGGGTTCGATTACAGTAAGGCAAATATCCTTGCGCCTTTTATAATGGGCATGAAGTTAAGTCCACTCCTTATTTGTCGACCCTTAAAACAAAGTAAAATTGTTGTTCTTCAAAGTCCAAGCTTCGTTAGGTCCCTACAGGAAGATAAGACATACGAGGGAACTGCAAAAGGCAGAGTAACAACGTTACTTCTTTTGTTACTTTATTCTATGTTTGGTTGGGCAGAAATAGTAGCTTCAAGAATGAGGCAAGGCCAGCCCTAAGTCTAAGTTGAACTGACATGGCTGGGAGGTGTTGTTTGCCACATTTCGAGAGGCAACCGAGAGAGAAGCCGAAGTAAAAGAGGAAGGGATGGCAACTCCTGCATGCCTACTTACTCATTCGTTCGAGTCGACTAGAAGTAAATTATGGATACTTCAGCTATGAAAAACAATCATTTCTCTCTCGTTTTACTGTTACCTTTCATTTCCTGCAACAAAACATAATATTAATCAAATTGGCATTAAATCTGTTAAATTACATTAGACTGAAACCCGGATTCACATGTTTTAATGGTACTGTAATGAATTGTCATAATACCAAAGCCTTACATGTCCTAATGTTTTGTCTGGAATAAGCCAGTTTTTTTGGTTCACTGCAACGTATGGATAACGTAGATGACCGAAAGATAATACAACTGATCTGTATTTTCTCATTTGATATGTGTAGTGGTTATTTATGAAGGTTCTTTTCACATACAACTATTTCCCATTCAATTGGGAACTACCAGTGATCTCTGCCAACGACAATTCTGCTATATCTTCAGCTAATGACAGCCAAAAATATAAGTGCCCAAGGCAAAACTTGAGTGTTGCCTACTTTGTCCGCAACTTCAATTGTAAACTGCAGTGTTCGTCTTCACAGATACAATCATGATTCCTCACAATATATAACATTATCCGCCTGTTATGCTATACATTGCGCGCATACGCATGATTTTGATACCATTACATATATATAGCACTAATACAATTCTTCAGGTTACCGTCGGAATAGCTAGGTAACAATCCGTATAACCAAACGATATAAAATTTTTAACGGTGTGCCCAGACAGACCAATTCATGTTATTTTGTACTTCTAACATTTCCTCTACAGTCACTTACATTAACTTCCCTATAAGGAAACAATTTTATCAGCCAAATGAAACTCTTACAGTAGTTCATATTTCACTGCTTTTACTGAACCTTTCTGTCTTACAGTAGTTCCTTCATAAATATTTCCCTGCTTTCACTGTGCACTTCTGTTTTCCACTCTGCTTTGTAACTAGCTAATTCTGATTTGTATCAACCTCTGTCTTAAAAGGCACAATTAGGACTCGGTCGGGGCTCGCCTTGGGGCGGAACACTCGTAAAACGCCCCTGGACTTATGTGTGGGACTTAGTGCCGTCAGATTTACACTTCGGCCGTTGGAACTTACACCCCAAATACAGCCAATGCCCAACGTACTCAGGTTTGCCTAATACTAAAACTTTATGTAACTATATGTAACTAACCTTGTAAATCCTCAAATTTTCTTAATAAATCATTGACTATTCAAAATAACTTTTTCCTTGATCATAAATCATTAAGTTGAGAGTATTTTATGTCATAAGCAAACGTTATCTACTAAAATTACTATGATAGTTAATTTTAAATGAATCTTTCATTTAAAAAGTATTTATTTATTAACTTTTATTATGTCTTTACTATATAATAGTCCGTAATTTTTTTAAAAATTATTTTTTAAAATATTCTTTTTTCAACTTGTAGGAGATACAATACTTATTAATTTAATAGAATCATATTTAAATTGTGAATTATGTTTTTATATAAATTCTCTTTCAAATAGAAAGCATATTAAATATATAAAAGGCGAATTTTAAGACAAAATCAAATTATAATATTGAAATCCTTTCAAGATTCATTACTCCTTAAGAACTACATATAAGATTTTGTATCGAATACATTTCATACTTTTCGTATTATTCATAGTTGAATTATAATTTATAAATATTTTAAATAGATTATTTGTTATAATTTTGTGATTTTAATGTAATTTTTATAAATAATTTTTATTTTATACTATCTTAAAATTCTTGAAATTAATAAAATTTAAAGATACGTGTGACTTACACCCACGTCTCAAGGCTTACGCCTCGATTCATTAAAGATAAGACGCCTCGCATCACGCCCCACCTTTTAAAACATACTATCAACAATCACCTATCTATATTAAATATGATGTAGTGCCACCATCGGATGACTTAATTGCTGAGAATTATTTCTTAATGCACTAACTACGGTGACGTCAGTAAAGTAATCTGGTGGAAGGGGTCCATAGAAAGAAAATTGGCTTCTTTTTCTTTTTTATATTTTTTGAAAAGATTACTTCCGTAGAGGAGAGGGGAAAGCTGCGTAAGTCATTCCAAGATTAATTTTAGCTTACACCTATAATTCAAGACCAACACCTGTAAATTTTGTTGACACTTGTGCACAACATGGCGTAATTTTCTTTAACACTCACTACTCAAACCAATCCCACAAAATCGTCTCTCTAAATATCTTCTGCTTCCCTTCTTCCTTCACTGTGTTTAACTTTTCAGCTACACTGCAAGTTTTAACCAAAAAACCCAGGTAGTCCATTCATCTTATACTTTTTAATGTTGTTAAAGCTAAGTTTAATTCAAGTTACAATTTAAAATTTCTATAGATTTTAGTAGAATGCAACAGATGGCATCCATGTTTATTCATGGTCTTTCCTTCTACAAGGTTGAACTTCATTTCACCCTCAATTTTACAACTTGAAATTATAGGATATAACTAACAACATGCGGGAATCACAATTACCATAGTAACATAACAAGGGAAAAACTAACTCCTTTTCAGCTTCCCAGAAGGAACCCGGGAGAAATGAAGAAACATTTGTTGCACCATCAAATTCATACCTGATAAACTGCAACACAAACAATCAATTACGTTTACGCGCAAACATCAGATTACCCAATATAACTTTGCGAGAGAATAAACCATCCAAACTAAATTGACAAGCTATGATCTCAACGGAGCACATAATTATCCCCAGCGTTATGGCCAACATTCAATTGTTTTCTTTATATAATTCTTCACGCTCAACTACTTTGTTCTACAACAGGTTGCAAGCTACTCAAAAGATGGAGCAGCGATATACCATCCAGGAAATCACGCCATTTACTAGAGATTGGACTCGTAAAATACAAGTTGTTGACAAAATCCGCCCCAAAATTAGCAGAGATAACCGGGTGCACGAAGATGAAAAAGTAAGTTCACAATCATCTCAACTACATAGTAATAAGCTTCTATCATATCTGTAAGCACTTTCTCCATGTTACATGTTAACAAATTGCAGGAAGACCAAATCTGCATCATAACATATGGTCCTGAAGTGGCACATTATGACAACCTGTTCAAACATTTCCACACGTACCTCATCTCAGCAGCTAAAGTTAGGGAACCGTCACGTTTTGCAATTCCCATGCACAGACTCGAATGGGTCGTCGATACCTTCAGTATTGTCGAAGAAGTTACAGAGAACAATGAAGAAGAATCAATGTTACCGTTGCCTACAAAATTAAACATGGTGTGCTTTGCCGATATCGAGAAACAAATTCTAGAAGATGAATTCGGTAAACAAACATGACTTTATACTATTTTATTTTTGCTGTAAAAAAACATGTTTCTTCATTATCAAATTTAAATAGCGACATTATACTTTTATACCCACATGCTTTTCCAAAGCAGACTTGGTGGCAGTTGTGGCAAATTGCGGTACCATGAAATAACAGGGCAGCGAAAACAGAAGATTTCAAGAGGCCATTCTCATAGAAGACAAGTAAGTAATGTTTACTTTAACTACCTCTAACAACAAAATATGTATTTAATACTTCATCCTTAATATCATAGGAAAAAACCTTTTCTGTTTACTATATGGGGGGAATTGGCTGACAACGATGGAACTGAACTACTACAGTAGCTACATAGATATCCTGTCATTGTTGCAAAACGAATAGCTGTTTCTAACTTTAAACAAGGTATTCACAAGTTACTTTACATCACACATGTACATCAATGTTTAGATTTGTTAACTTATTCATTAACAAGTACATTATATGATATGCAGAGGTTCGCCTGACAACAAGGTTCAATTCATCAATCTTAATCGATCCTTTGTACCCGCAGGCAACAAATTTAATGAATTGGTATGAAATGTGTTTTATTTGCTCGCCAATACATTCCATTTTTTAATACCATATGATTACAAAAAAACCCATAATATCTCCTATTACATCGCAGGGCAAAGGAGAACAAGCATATGCTAAATGAATATACTCTCAAAAGTACATCAGAATCGCATTCGACACTAAATGTTGCACCTTTTGAAGACCAAATAGTTCCCATTTCAACCATTCTTTCACAGTCCACTGTAAGTATATTAAAACATATGACTTGGGCTTACCATCGATTGTTCTTTTGCTTCTACATCGTATTAAAAATAGCCTTCTGACAATTATTATTTTCTACCAGAAATCAACAAAGAAACTACGTAAACAAAGAGAAATATTTTTCACCAGCAAACAAAGGAGTACCCCAAGACAAATAAAGCTCAAGAAAATTAGCCGAATATTTGTATACCTATAGAGATTTAACTCCAATAAATCATAAAACAAATGCAATAACACATATATTAACATGAATAGAGAAACTAAACCTCTGTCGACGTTTTATAACACAATTTTTAGCTAAATGAACTTCACATAACTTCACATAGCTGATACGCTTAAAACATTTTCTCAGTATATTCTATTTCTGCTATAACATTACTAGTAACGTAACTCTTAGCAGTAAGACAAATAATATGGTCGCAAGAAATAAGAACAGAATGATACATCGGTAACTGAATAACACCAATACTGGGATCGCCATTTTATCTTGTGAGTTATTCTATGTTGTGATTACTAAGTAGTATCTTTCTATTATTTTCTCAACAGGCACAAAGTTTTTATGTTGAAGGAGAAATATCATTACCAAGTGAGTTCCAACTTTTCTTCGTACTTCTATGCTCTGAGTGTCAACATCTAGCACGAATCAAGCGCAAAAAAAAAGTTCTTTGTATCAACTGCAAGCTAGAGAGAATGCTGATTCCAAGGTAATAATAGCTCTTACGATTGACACACTTTCAATAATGACATCTGACAACTAAAACCTTATCATCGCACAAACACAATATTGTAGATGTGAATTTGAAGTTGAAATCACAGACGAGAGCGGAACAATAACAACAATGGTGTCGGACAAAGTAGCTGAAACAATGCTTTCAATGACAACAGAGCAAGTATATGAAACTACCATTGCCCAGGTGTATATATTGCCAACTCTAGAATTATTTTGCGTGACTCCAAATTAGTTTAAAGTCTTCACTTAACTCAATCTGTAGCAAACTTATTCCCACAGAAACAGCTGTTACCTGTTGAGCATATCAGAGAGCACTTGCTAAACAAGCTGTTCAAAATTCATTTACAAAAAAGAAATGTACAATCCATCACTTCTGCAGAAGCAAATCGCACTCCATCGGCACAAGATGGAAACCCAACCAAGAAACCACTCATAGACTCAGCAAGTCTTCGGCAAAAATAGTCAAGGTTAGAAACTGATACTTCATAGACCCTATTTTTTTAAGACCTTTTAACTAAGTTACTTTATATGTAAGCACCAAATCAAAAAAGCTGCATCTGCTAAACAACTGCAAACACAAACAATAATTTCATATATAATAAAAGTTTTGTCGGGTAACAACATTGTTTATCCATCCATTCATGCATTCTAATTCTTTGTTAAATTATTTAGCTGGATGACATTTGCAATTCTCAATAGAATTTCTGTTGTTTGCTTTTAGACTACTAATTAATGAATACTTACATTTACTTCTCTCAATTTCTGTCCATTACAATGCTTATTTTATGTCAAAAAGTAGGGCTGCTCGGTGGGCCGGGCCTGAACCGGACCGGGCCTGAACCGGACCGGACCGGGCCCGCGGTCCTAACGGTCC